ATTTATGGAACCGCCCGGTGCAGCCGTGCATTAAGATGACTTCTGAGGCAGACACTTTTTGGATGGCTGCAGAGATTAACTTTCACAGGCTGAACTGAATTTCAACTTTGACCTTGTCTGAGAGACTTATAAACTGTGGCTTGGTCTGCTTCGCATGATCAGGAAAAAACAACAACAACACCGTGTTACTAATGTAGGAAAAAGGACAACAAACAGAATCACCAAAAAAATAGAAAGAAAAAAACAATGTTCTGATATTTTTTTCTAGCTTTAATTCTCACTCCTCACACTGTGAAATCTGTACCAGGTTCAGTTGATGCAGTACTTCTCAAATAGTGGGGCGGAGCGCCCTGGAGGGGCACAGTGAGATTTTTTTTACAGATGAAAATATACATGTTATCAAGGGGGGGGCATGACAGAAAATAATTCAGAACCACTGAGTTAATGCTATGAAAAAGTTAAAAATTTTACGCTTTTGTTCGGCACTTTTCTAGTTAATGCTATGGAAAAAGTTAAACATTTTACGCTTTTGTTCGGCACTTTTCTGATCATTTGTCCACCAATTTAACCTAGTGGTTCCCAAAGTAGAGGGCGGGCCCCACCCAGGGGCACAGTGAGGCAAATGACATTCAATTTCAGTATTTTGTTTTGTCCAGTTTTGTATCTAACACCCTGAATGTGTTGACTTGGCGTGAGCATAGGAGTGATCCTATAAACAACAGGGGGCGCTGCAGACAATGTTTTGGGAAACTTTTTCATATCATACTTTTTCATGCCAAATAAATGAAAATAGATTTAGTTAACAGGCCGTCATGAAGGATTACCGACTGTTTTTACGTTCTACAGTTTTTTGGATCAGATTTATTCTCCGTGACGTAGTATATGTTTAGTCTCTACTTTAAAAAAAACGTGTCACTATAAAACTGACAAATACTTCGTGTTCAACGGCACCAGCAAGGACACCGTAGTCCTCGCACTCTGTCATACTTTGGTTGATAAAGCTTGTGTTGACACAGGTTGTAGTCCATTACCTGCCAAGGCTGATGGAGACGGTTGACTGTTTCTATGGTGCAACACAAATCCTGCATGTGGAGCTGTGGAAGTTTCTGGAAGCCCAGACTGACACAGGTTAATGTGGGACTCATCAACAGGACCAAGACTCTCTGTAGGACCTGGTCTGTTAAGATACACACCTGAAGATGTGACTTATAGTATAGAAAACGTCTTCTTTTGCTTCCATCGACGCGGGAGCTGCAGACGCTCGGCTCTTTAACAGCTTGTTGTGTGGACTCCCTTAAACTGTGTCATATTTTGAACGCGGCTTATTGAATAAGTTCCTCCAAGATGCTTGTGTTTGTCCAAGCTGTTTCCTCTGCTGCAGCATCAGATGAGCTTTCCCACTGACTGCATTTATACCTCAGAAGCCTCAGAGTCTAGACTCTTTCTGGTGAAGTGAAATAACGGGTGAATAAAAATGTAAACAGATGTTTTTCTACACAGGGACAGAGACGATGTCTCTCCTGCCGCTGCCACAGGGTTTACAAGTTAGACAAGTTACAGATGGGATTAAAATAAAATTAGCCACTATTTTAGCATAAGCATTAGCATTTAGCATAACCAACAGGATCAGTTACTCACTGTTATGTGGTTCCTGCCGAATCTGTACCTAAAGCATGTGGTAAACTACTAAATGTTAACCAGTTGGAAATGAACCTGTAGGTGGCAGTAATGTAATACTTACTATTTTTATTACTGTTCCTCATTTATTTTGTTTTACTTTTGTGACTTTGGTTGTTTGGCTTTCTTTGTGGACGACAGACGTACGTTTTCATTTTGTAGGCAAATATATTTATTTACTGTGCGTATGATGATAAACACTGTGAGTCTGAACTATAAACTGAAACTAGAAGTGAGCGTTGATGCTTTCATTCTCTCAGCGCTCTGAATATAATTTGGAGAATGTATAAAGAATCATTTCAGTTGATGAAGTATATAGGATCTGCTCTGTATTTCTTTTGGCCCATCGTGGGGCCCAAACATCAACACAAATCACCAATTTATATATAGCTGTCTACTACTGTATATTATTTTATAGTCTGCCACCAAAATATATTCCTAGATCTATTGTAGCGGTAAAATCCACAGGCCCAGAAATAGAAACAGGATTTTTTCCAATGACATTCTCTCAATTAAAAACGTCGACTCATCCAGTGTATACACAGATACTTCCTCTCCTCCTGTTACATGGGAATTAGAAGGGATTGTGTGTAGGTGCACAAGAATGTGTGCCTGGAGTCGGATTCCTTTCAGCAAAGCTGCTAACTGGATAATTAAGAGTGCTCCATACACTCCAATTAGCGGGCGAAGGCACGGGAAGGAGTGATCGCTCGACTGTGTCTGAGAAAAGGAGCGAGAAACGGTGTAATATGCATTAAATCACAGTGAAAGGCTAATGTGTGCAAAGTGAGGGCACCACAGGCTGCAGCCTGCTGGAGGAAAGCAGGCGGCGTTCTTAATAAATGCTGTCAAGGTTAGCGCTGCACTGTGGATCATCACAGCCTGACCCATAATCTCATCAGGTGGACCTGCCCCCAACTCCTCCTGACACCCCCACCTCCTCCTGACACCCCCACCTCCTCCTGACACCCCCACCTCCAGCACCACTACGACCCCTCCCTCTGCCTTCATAGCCTGTGTTTGTCAGTCTCTGTTTTTTTTTAAGTCTGGAGGAAATGCTGTTGAACACGACGGTGTTTGATTCGTGTCCGTTGGAAAACTCTGTCCTTGTATTTATTTTTTTTTTTTTGTAATTCCTAAAGAAAGATCTCTGACAACTGTGTCTACGATGGTGCGCAAAAATACCCTGTAAAAAAATACCCCAGCCCAAAGACTGGGTCCAGCCCTCAAGTGGGTTTTTGGGGGGTCGTCTCACATCATGTTTCCCAGGAGTGTACGAATAATGTCTGTTGACTTGGGTCGCAAAGGTTTGTGACTTTTAAAATATGGGTCCCCAGAAAAAAAGTTTGGGAAACACTGGCTTAACTTAATACAGTAAGGATGTCCAATAATATCAGCCCACTGATGTTATCGTCACTGATGTTAGCAAAAATGTGTAATATTTACCTCCGATAATAAAAACCCGATAATCCAGTACTTGGGTTTTGTCAAATACGCTGGAGTCACTGTATAATATATCTATACAATTTCACTTGGGGCCAGATTTGGCTCGTGGGCCTGAGAATTTCACTTGGGGCCAGATTTGGCCCGCGGGCCTGAGTTTGACACCTGTGGTATAGACAATATCGGCATTGTTGGAATTTTAGCTAACAGCTAAAAGCGGTCATCTCTAATCTACAGTTCTTTGCGGTTGATCCGACCTGCTGCTCCTCATTAAGGCTCGCTTCCTGCAATTTCAGCCGAGAAAACCCTGACGTCTGAACATGTTCCTGTTTCCCGGCTCTTCTCTGGTTCTTCTTGACAGAAGTAAACACAGAGCTCAGCTCAATTGAGATAGATGAATCCACGGATTCACACCGACACCCCTCCTCGTTTCCATTAATAAAACGCGCGACACATTCAAATCCAGGGTCGTGGTTATTAATTACTTCTCCAACTTTAACTAATCCTCACGGGGGAGGAGGGCAGGAGGAGATACACGGGCAGAACAGCAGAGCGTCGAGGCAGGCAGGAACAAAGGCCCCCCGTCAGGGTCCGCGCCTCATGCTGCTCCAGTCCCACATACCGCTGGGGCTCGGCGCAGAGTTAAAGACCACCGAGGCAGATTTCCCTCGGGGGTGATTATTCTCAGGAAGATAGAATTATTTTCAGACAGAAAATCTTCCACCGCGGCTGATTTATCAGCTCTGATGTCATCCACTGAGTCCCTGAGCGAAAATCCAGCCTCATCATTATTTTGGCCAAATGACCAGAGTTTTGTGGCAGGATTTCTGCTAAATAGGAGACTCATTGCTCCTCGGTGGACTGTGCTCCCATTTATTCTTTATGCATTTTACATTTTAATGGCAGAGCAGTCAGCAAAGGATTTAACTTTGTGTAATTGTCCAAAATATGTGTACGGCTTCTGTTTGCATTCAACAGTTTTAACCTGCAGCGTTTAACGCTTTTAAAAAATGTCCAAGGATTTAAATGTGACATAAATTCAGTTTTCTGAGCTTCGTTTTATATTGATTAGCTCATCATGTCATCATGTGTTTCTCACGTTAGCTTGATCTCACAGTTAACTGAAGGTGGAGCTGTTGAGTTATCGTAGACGCCGAAGTCGATCATCCGTCCTTTTTAATGTACTGCAAAAAGTATTCTGGTCTGTGTTTGCAGATTTGTCTTCATCTGTAACTTAACTTGTTTCACGTTGACAAAATGAGTTCTGATCATGTGCCTGCTCAACTCAAAACATGGGAAAGTTCACCTGATGTGGTTGAATAGCACCCCCTGCAGGAAAGGAGGCAATACGCACATTGTTACAAATCAGTAAATGATAACTGTTGCATTAGCATGAACAAACAACAAATATTTCTAAACTTGTGGCAGAAAATTTTTCCGACCATTTTTTTTAAGCTAGAGCCGAAACTTTGCGGTTGATAAAAAAAAAAGAAAAAAAAAGCTGATGTTGGTGGAAAATAATCTAAGTCGATGATTGGAGTCATTATTCGTGGCTCATCAGCATCACCGAGTGAACCAACTGTGTCACACATGTGCCACGCGTGCCTGTGTTGTCAGCCATGAGCATGCGGCATGGGTGGCCAGCAGGCGGGGATTTATACCGCTGATGAATCCCGAGGGCTTCAGTAATTATGGTTGTCGCCGAACGGGGGGGGGGGGGGGGGGGGGGGGGGGGGGGGGGGGGGCCCGGGGGGGGAGGAAAAGGTCTGAGCACTCTGACGGAGGAGACTGAGGACACCAGTGATGTGGCAGCACCCTCCAGCTCCTGCGCCTCCTCCCGCACCAACGACACAGCGGAGAGAAAAAATCAGTAAAATATTTTAAGGAAATAGGGAGAAAAAAATGAAGTAGAACGAGGGTGAGAGACGCAGAGAGATGTTTTCCCTCCCTGTATTGTGCGCCCTGAGCCATCCATCCCTCCCACCTCCCGAGTGTTTCTATAGTAATTTCCATCCAATGATCAGTAGGTGTCCACATCCCTGCTTCCTCACCTCAGCACCAATCAGCCACACACAGCGACAGGAGACACGGAGTGAGCAGAGAGCAGGCAGACGCGCCAGCACAACAACACAAACCCCGTGGATCCAGAGGAGAGGAGACGCGCCGTCACCTCCTCCTGCTCCTGCTGCTGCTGCTGCTGTTGCTCCTCCTGCTCCTCTACCTCCTTTTCTCATACACCCTGCTGGACTCATCTGGGCACTTTTTTTTTTTTTTTTTTTTTTTTTTGGCGGGGCCCTATTTTCTTACGCGAAAAGAAAGTCGAGAGTGGAGGAGAAAAAAAATGCTTCTTTTGTTTTGAGCCTTTTGGACACACGCGGACACGCGCACACGCACTCGCTCCGTTCCGGCAGCCTATGTCTGTGCGTCTTTTTCCGTCCTTTCCTTTTATTCCCCTGCGCGTTTCGCCTCGCAGTGATGTGCGGTTTCACAGTCGGAGGCTGGTAGCATCTTGGGAGCTCTTCCCAACAGAACCTGGTAAGTGAGGCTCTCTCTCTCCCTCTCTCTCCCTCTCTCTCTTTCTTTCTTTCTTTGTGACTCTCCCAGTGTCTCTATGTGTGTGTGTGTGTGTGTGTGTGTGTTTGCGTCCTTCCGTTTTAGTGCCGTCCTTATGCATGAGTTTACCCAGATTTCCCTGATGTCAAGTAGTCCAGGTGAATTTTACGGCTGTTTTTTTCTTCTTTCTTTTTTTCAACCTGCACCATAGCGCCACACTCTGCTCCTCAGATTATCTATGCACGACCTTTGATCTGAGTGTCTGCCTCACAGCAGCCTGGGCTAATTAATGGCACCGTGGTGCAGCAGCAGCAGCGGTGGCACAATGGTTCCTCACTGGACGTGGCTTCTCCCCCACTTTCCTTTACTCGCTCTCCACCTTTTCCACTTGTCTCTCTCTCTCTCTCTCTGTCTCTCCATTGCTCGCTCTCTCTCTCTCTCTCTCTCTCCCTCCTTCCCCCCTGTGTCTCTTCAGCTCCAAGTATTGAACATTTCTGTCTCCCTAAACTTTGTTTACAGGCTGAAAATCAATGTCCGTGACTTGATTGCCTGTGGGCGGCGTATTTCGCTCCAGGGGTGAATTGATTAAGTAATAATGACCCTGTGGAGGGCCGATCATGGAGCCGAGGAGGTTTTGTTTACTGGTGTGTGCAGGTTGTTTTGGACAACCGCAGAATCCACTTTGCAAATCCACACTGGACACTTTTCAGATTCATGTTGGACCAAAAGTAAAAAAAAACAAAAAACTAAAAAAAACAGTTTTAATGTTTTTTTGCTTGAGGCATGGTGAAAGATTTTTTTTTTTTTACAATACTTTATTCACATGAAACATGCATCTTTGTAAATTGGCACTCATTGAATTCATTCATTTTGATATTGGTATTTGTAGTGTTTATATTCCTAAAAATGTGAATAGTTTTTCACCAAAAAGTAATGATTTTTTTTTTACTTATATCAAAAGCACATCTTCTCAACGGAAGCTGCCATGTTGGAACTTATATCAAAAGCACGTCTTCTCAACGGAAGCTGCCATGTTGGATCGCTGATTATATATTTTTATTGGGTCAGTAAATTAAATAAATGCAGATATAAGGCAACAAAACAAACATGACAGGCCAGATCATGTGGACCAATCAGAGAAGATATTGTTATTATTATATAAAAATCCCATTTACAGTTATAAATTGTAAAACT